CCATACCCACATCCCTCACACAAACATCTTCAGCTGACAATACCTCGCTCCCAACCCACAAACCTCACATAGACACCCAGACCCCTCACAAAAGTACCCATTGCCCTCACACTGGTGTTAAGGGAACACCTAAATAGGCTCACAACTATAGTTTTAGCCCAATAACTAATTTACTGAGTTCATTTACACTGGCAGTACTGGAGGTTGAATCCAGGGCCTCGTGCTTTGCTAGACAGGCACATTACCACTTGAGACACTCTGCCAAGTTAGAAGTTTGTTGTGTTTTGTTGGTTGCTTGTTTGTACAGGTTTTGTTTGGTATTTTTTGGTGGCATGGGGTTTGAACTCAGAGTTTTACACTTGTTAGGCAGGCACTCCATTACTTAGCCACTCTCCAGCCCCTGGTGGTACTTTTTTTTGGTACCGGGTCTTGAACTCAGGCCCTACACCTTGAGACAACACCAGCCCTTTTGTGTGTGTGTGTGTGTGTGTGTGTGTGTGTGTGTGTGTGTGTGTGTTAGGTATTTTCGAGATAGGGCCTCTCGAACTATTTGCCCAGGCTGGCTTTGAACTTCAATCCTCCTGATCTCTGCCTCCTGAGTAGCTAGGATTATAGACATGATCCACCGGTGCCCAGCTAGGTGGTACATTTTTAAAAGACATTTTTCTTCTTCTCATTATCTTCTTCCCTCCCCCCCCCTCCATTTCCCAATGTGAGGGAACTCAAGACTGTCTTTACAGCTCCAAGCATGGTCTTTACACTCCTCTCATTTTGCAGAATGAAGGAATGTCCAGAACAGCAAAGGAAACAACTCTGTGATCACGCCAGCACAGGAACTAAGCAAACCCAAGGCCACCATGGGCTTTCCTTTAAAAGGCAGCCCTTTCCCTCACCCCCTTCATACTAGAACTGTAAAAAAAAATTTTTTTTGAAGGGGGAGAGTTGATGTTTGAAACAGCAGGTCACGGCAGTCCTCATTTTGCCTGGCAAAATTAATAAAACTTTCTTGCATTTTCTCCAAAAGCGCTGTTCTCATTATTTGTGAATTGGCACTGAGTCTGAGGGACCGAATTTCCGTTATCTCGGGGACCCTTGCCCCTTTCTCCAGGATCTCATCCCTCACATGGGCTCCTCCCTCATCAGGCTCAGCCCTCACAGGGTCATCCTCGGCCCTCACAGATGCGCCCACTGCCCTTTCTCCCACTCACTGTTCCGCCTCCCCCGTTCCTCCTGCCCCCCCCTCCCGGAATCCAATCCCCACCACCCATGTCCCCACTATGGCCGGCTGAAACCCCAGGGCGCACGCGCCTAGGCATTGCCTGCAGTCTTGTTGCTAAACCTTCTGAGCTTACAGTCCCGATTGTGAGCGCATAAGCGGTGGCATTCTGGGAGTTGTGGTCCCAGTGAGCCGTCGAGCAGACATGTGCATCATCGTGGCGCCGCCGGTAGTGTCGGCCCTTGTGCTGGAAAAAGCGGTCCATTCCGGAGCCTAATACCCAGAGCGTAGTGCTGCAACGCTTGCTGCTACGGTAGCTAGAAGCGCTAGGCTGACAGACAGACCGACAGTGAAGGCTGACTATGGGCAGTGCGGAAACGGACAGACGTCTGTGAGTGCGGGAAGGCGGGTAGGGTATGTGACGGACTGATGCACCAAGTTGAGACCGACCGAAGTGTGACGACTACAGAGTGTAACACTGAGTAACCGATCAAACCTGGGACAAACGGGCCAAGGTGGAAGGTGTGGGATGAACTGACCCGTTGTAGGTGTCTGATAGATTGTGCTGTGTGTCTGATGCATCTTGGGTACGTATGTCTGGCTGACGGGTTGGAGTGTAGATCATCAAGACACTTTGAGTGTCTGGCTACCTGATGAAGTGTGATCGTCCAATAGAAATAGTTGAGATTTTTGTAGATGGGTTGTGTGATACTATGAGAGAGCGGATATGTGTGTGACTGTGATTTCAAATGTGACTGAGATTCTCTATATGTCTGGTTGAGATGGTGACTAGCAGATAATGAGTAACTGTGATGGAATGATACTGTGAAGATCCTGTGTTTATTTGATTTTGGGAAACACTGAAATATTTTTACATGTCTGGGTATATTGTGGTATATATGATTGACAGACTGCTGAGAGTGTGCGTGTGTAGATATGTAATTGAGATTTTTATCAGGGAAACTGAAATTTGGGTGATCCACAGGAAGTTTACCAAATATGTGACAGAGGATTTGTGCTTTGCCATGTTTGCAGCTGAAACTGGGTGACCAGTGGTCACCTTTGGGTTTATGGGTACATCTCCTGTGGAAGTATGGCAAGGGCTGTGAGGTCATCAGATCAGACATTTCCTGCATGTTCGCTGTGTGTCAGACCTGTGCTGGACATTTGTCATGGATTACCTTGGGTAAACTCATGCCCACTTTCTGAGGTAGGTACTGTTGTAAGTCTGGGTACAAATACTGACTGGGAAATGAAAGAAAAACCCTCCAAGGCAGGTTAAGCAGCTGTAGATGGGGAACCTCATCCTGACATGAGGTCAGCAAGTGTGAAGTAGGCCATGGAGGCTGATTAAGGTTCATATACATGAACCTCATGTCATTAGAAACTCATGACCTTCAGATATAGCTCAATTTCTCAGAGACAGTCACCAGAGATTTGTTCGGATCAGGTGTTAGAATACAGAGGAAGAGCTGGGCGCCAGTGGCTCACGCCTATAATCCTAGGTACTCAGGAGGCAGAGATCAGGAGGATTGAGGTTTGAAGCAGCCTGGGTAAATAGCCCTTGAGACCTATCTTGAAAAAAAAAACATCACACAAATAAAAGAGCTGGCGGAGTGGCTCAAGGTGTAGGCCCTGAGTTCAAACCCAGTACTGGAAAAAAAAAAAGAATACAGAGGAAGAAGAGAGACCTAGGGAATAGGACTTAACATACTACCAAGGCCCCGAGTTCAAACAAAACAACAACAAAAAAAGGGAAGTGTTGCCCCTTTCAAGAGTTTGGAAAGGTGGTGAGAGGCAGTCCCATGTAAAGAAAAGTCCACAGAGCATCGGTATCTGAGTTCTAACTCTAGCTCTCCACATACCTTCCAGATGACTCTAAGAGCTGTTTCTCCAGCTTTCAAAATGGGAACAGTAATTCTGACTCACAGGGTGGTGGCAAGGGTTGAAAGCGTTAACAGAGGCAAAAGCCTAGTGTGGCCCAGAACCTAGTAGGTTTCTACTGCATGCTCTCATTTTCTTGCATTCTTCTGCCACATCGAACCCACACCTATCACAGTGAGTATCTTACCGTGTCTGTCCGTCTCTCTCCTTCCAGTGAAGGCATTGAGCATAGGACCTGTGTCTTCCTAATCTTTACATCCCTAACACAGAGCTGGGCACAGAGTAGGTAACGGGGATGTGTTGAACATACTGGTATTGATGTGTGTGCCAGACACTGCTGTAGGCACCAAGATAAAGCAATGAGCAAAACAAAAACCCTGCCCTTAAGGTGCTAACACTCCGGTGTGAATAATAAACAAGAAATTGCATAACTGTATCATACATCAAGTGGTAAGAGTAATCAAAAATAAAGCAGGGTAAGGGACTGATTCTCTCTGATGAGGTGTCTTTTTTTGGGTGGTACTAGGGTTTGAACTCAGGGCCTCATGCTTGCTAGGCAGGCACTCTACCACTTGAGCCACTCCACCAGCCCTTTTTTTGTGTTGGGTATTTTCAAGATAGAATCTCTCCAACTATTTGCCTGAGCTGGCCTCAAACTGGAATCCTTCTGATCTCAGCCTCCCAAGTAGTTAGGATTACAGGTGTGAGCCAGCTGATCCCACTGCCCATAGTTTTTTAAACAGCATTTTTGAGATATGATTCACATACTATAAAACCCACCACATTTTATTTGTTTGGTGGTTTTTTTTGTTGTTTTTGAGACAGGGTCTCACTGTGTAGCCCAGGCTGGCCTTGAACTTTCCATTTTCCTGCCTCAGCCTCCCCAGTACTGGAATTAGAGACATGCACCACTCTGCACAACTAAAACCCACCATTTTATTGTTTTATTTTGGGGATTTTGTTGTTGTCTTGAGACAGGTTCTTACTATGTGACTCAGGCTGGCCTTGAACTCACTGTATAGTCCAGGCTGTACTCAAACTCATAATCTTCCTGCCTCAGTCTCCCAAGTGCTGGGGTTACAGGCATGTACCACCATACCCAGCTTATTTAAGTTTATAGTTCAATAGTTTTTAAGTGACTTACAGCCCTGCCCTAAGCTATTTCACAATAGAAAGTAGAAAATAGTTTGAACCAAATGATAATGAAGTCAGGCTCATGGTAGCACACACCTGTAATTCCAGCACTCAAGAGACTGAGATAGAAGCATCACAAGTTTGAGGCCAATGTGGGCTATGACACTGTCTTAAAACGAGAAGAAGAACATATCAAACTTGGATATACAAGTAGAGCTGTAGAGAGGGACATTTATAGCTTTAAATACATGTATTTGAAAATGAGGTAAGGTTTAAAATCAGTTATGAGTGTTAATTTCAGATACTACAAAATAATTAGCAAATAAAGTGAGGGAATAACCATGCAGCTACCCAGTGAGAGATGGGAAGGTAGGAGATGTGGAGAAATAGGAAGAGGTGTGTGGGCTGGCCATGGTTTGCCCACATTTGTACCTCAGCTTCCTGCCTACACTTCCCTAGCTAGGAGACTTTCTGCAAATCCTTTCCTCCTCTTTGTCTGTTTTTACATACTTAAAATGGGAAGAAAGTTGTTTCTCCCAAGTTTGTTGTATTTTTAAATGCCTGCATTGAGATCCATGCTTTACATTGAGTGGGCACTGTCCTGATCATCATGATTATCTATCTCTCTCTGAGAGTGAGCTGCATCACAGGCCCCCAAGCCTACACCTGTTCCGCACCCCCGTCCCAGGTGATAATGAGCTCTGACATTCCTGCAGACCCAGTTCTGAGGCTTCAGCCATCCTCTCTCACTAAGCACAACTGCCTGATGGCCATCCCAAAGTGCCCCCTAAGCCCAGTGCCCTGGGAACAGGACAGCTTCCTTCAAGTGAAGGTAGAGGAAGAGGAAGAAGAGGCTGGCCTCACCCAGGGCCAGGAATCCAGCCCCACCATGCTGCCCACACTGAAGCTGCATGCCTGCACCTCTGGCACTTGCGCTACGAGGAGGCATCTGGCCCCCATGCGGCACTGACCCAGCTATGAGAGCTGTGTCACCAGTGGCTGCAGCCTGAGTCATGCTCCAAGGAGCAGATGCTGGAGCTGCTGGTGCTGGAGCACTTTCTGGGCGCATTGCCTCCCAAGATCCATGCCTGAGTGGAGGCCCAGTGCCCCACAACCTGAGAGGATGCTGCCATGCTGGTGGAAGACCTGACTCAGGCACTGGACAAGAGAGCTGTTCACAATTCTGTTCACAGCATCCTAGTGGTGGAGCTGGACTGGAACAAGGACTTACATTCTCCAGTTTGGGGTTGCTTACACACTCATTCTGTCTTTATACTAACCATGGTTGCAAAGAAGTGTAAGGGGACTTAGGTATAGCTATATTCAGAAGATAGACTACTTGACAGCCTCAGCACTTTCTCTTTCTCTCTTATTCTATTTCTCCATTAGATTTTTCTACATTAGCTTACCCTAAAGGGAACAAAGATGGCTCACCAGCCCCAGGCTTGTGTCTTACCAATATAGAAACCCCGGGGGCAGACAAAAACAGAAACCCCAGGGGAAGAACAGTCAGAGGTCCCTAGCCTGAACCCCACTGAACCCATCAGGGAATTGTGTTTGTCTTTCACCAGTCAAATCCCAGGGACTAATAGCAAGCATGGGGCAAATTCCTGAAAGGAAATCCAGGCTACTGGTCCAGACGAAGGGGCTGGAAGCCTGGAATGGAGGTGTAGAAGACAGAAACACCACGTGTTCAGGGATATTGTCTCCTGAGCTGCCCTGTGTGGTCTCCAGGATCTAAATGAGTCAGACTTCCCTGGACACTGTTACTCAGGGAGACCCACACAGATGTCCCTGGCCAGGAAGGACTCAGCCATAGGGTAGTCAAAAGGAAGAACAGGAGGCTTCTTCCAGAGGGGCTGACCTGTTGGTAGCAGATGGCAAGGAGGGTGTGCCAGGCTGCAGGAACTCATGGAGTTTGGAAATGGTTCATTTCCTTGGATCAGGGCTCATTGATCCAAGTACTGCTTGGTCTTCTCTGGCCACATGACTCTCATCCCTGGAACACCTACCTTGATGTCATTGAGAGGTGTAAATGGAGTGATACCTGTACAGTTCCTGAGATGGTGCCTGGCACATGCTGAACATAAGGCAACCATAGCTATGGAACAACTTGTTGGGCTCCCTGAAAACTAGAAAAGGCTGGTTTGCTCCCTCCTGTGGCCAGACAAATGTCTAGGGATGGAAAGGAGAGAGCGGGAATGGCCCCTTCCTCACACAGGAGGAACAAAGATGGACAAAAGGCAAAGTTGTGTTGAGAGGAAGAGAAAGAGCCACAGTCCAATGGCACAGTGGGGGCAAAGGCCTGGCTGTGTGTTTGGACCAGTGCATTCTGGGACTAACAGATGGGGACAGAAAAGGGAGGGAGGCCCAGCAGATGACTGAGCAGGATGGGGAGAAGCTTTCAGAGTCAAAGTCCTATGTGACCACAAGCTAACAGATATTGCACAAGACCCTCAGCCTGTCTGAGCTAATCCTGTGGTCCTGAACCAGATACTCTGCACCCTCCTCAGCTGGGTCTCAGTTTCCCCATATGCAGCAGAGGTTGCACACTCACTTGCAGTCAAGCACATAACAAGACCCAATGACCGCCTGGGAAGCACATGGTATCACATGCCTTCAGACATAGGCATGACGCCTTACAGATGCCTTACAGACATAGGAACTGAAGGCCCAGGTGAGGGCAGGATTGCTCAGGGTTCCAGAGCTGGCCAGTGCAGAGCCTAAGGTCAGATCCCAGTTTCTGGGTCACTCAGATCAACTGTGGACAGGAACAGCCATTCCACCCTTCCATTTCCTCCCTGGGACACACCAGTAAATTGTCCCCAGATTGAGTATCCTCAGGCACTCTTTGCACCTGGGAAGGGCAGATCAGTGTAGGTGTGCCTCTCCCTCATACATACTTGGGCTGACTGAGACTTGACACCAGCAGCAGGTGTTCACCTGGGACTCTGCCCCAGGAAATTTCAGTCACAGACATCTGGATTGATTCCCTCTTCCACCCACTATCCACTGGGTACCTGCAGACAAAGTCAGTACCCACTGAGTACCTGTAGACCCAGCCAGTATCCCTTGAGTACCTGCAGACCCAGCCAGACCCAAGGCAACTGGCAAGTGTGAGGAACAGAGCCCCAGCCTCAGAAAGTGTGGCCCTGCCCTGGGGGAGCAGGCATCTGACAAGGACAAACCTCCCTCTCTTCTTTCAGATCAGTTCCACCTGAGAGATTTTGGTTTTGTTTTTTGGCAGTACTGGGGTTTTATTTATTTATTTATGGCAGTACTGGGAATTGAACTCAGGATCTTGAGCTTGCTAGGCAGGTGCACTACCACTTGGTCCATTCCACCACCCTTTTTTAATTTGCTTTGGTCTTGAGTTTTTGTCCAGGGCTGGCCTTGGACCTCAGTCCTTCTATCTATGCCGTGTGTGTGTGTGTGTGTGTGTGTGTGTGTGTGTGTATGGGATCTTGCAAATTTTTGCCTGGGCTAGCCTCAGGCTGTGATTCTCTCAATCTCTGCTTCCTAAGTAGCTGGAATTACAGGTGTGAGCCCCTGTGCTTAGGCCACCTGAGGGTTTTCCTGCTGATACTTAAGCCAAAATCAGTAGCCTCAGAGGACGGAGAGTTTGGTGGGAAAAAAAAAACAAAACAGAATTGTGATGTGGTTTTAGGTGGTATGGGAGGACAGCCCTGTACCTTTTGCTATCCAAAACACCAAATGAGAAACTTCCCTTTGGATGTGAGGCCACAGGTCAGGAACAGTTCACATCTCCCCTTACAGGGAGGGTGTCCAGGACCCCGGGTAGGTGGGAAGGCTGGTGTAGTGAGCTGTGGTGCAGGAGTAAAGCTGTGGTGCAGGAGTAGTAATGCTGAAGTTCACTTTGTTTCAGGATGGGTGTCAGGAGCTGAGCCCACAGAGACAAGCTGTGAGCAGAGCAATTCTGAAGAGTCAGAGCTATCAGACATGGCCACTGAAACCCTCATGGGAGGTGTTTCTCCTGAACCTGCCCTCCCTGGCCCTTGTGAACCTGAGGACAGCTCAGAGAGGCAGGCGGGACTCTTGCTGGTGATCTGGACAAAGTCTGCCACCCAAGAGGTGGATTTCGGGAAAACTCCAAGGCCTAAAAAGGACACCCCTGCTGAGCAGCCTGTCCATGAGTGTGGAGCCTCAGGAAACAGATCCAGCATGTGGCCAGACTTCACCTCCCAAGAGAAGGCTCCTTCAGAGGAGAAATTCAGTCCCTTGCATGGTTATGGGACAGTGCCTCCATATACATTCTCAGGGAAGAAGCCCTTCAGGTGTGCTGAATGCAGGAGAACATTCCAGAGCACCTCAGCCCTTGAGGTGCATCAGAAGAGTCACCCCCGGAAAATGCCCTATGCCTGCAGTGAGTGTGGGAAGGCCTTCAGTCACAGCACCCACCTCCTCCAGCACCAGGTTGTGCATATGGGGGCGAAGCCCCATGTGTGTAAGGAGTGTGGGAAGGCCTTCAGCTGGGTTACCCACCTCACACAGCACCAGAGGATTCACACTGGGGAGAAGCCCTACAAATGTGGGGAGTGTGGCAAGACCTTCAGCCGCAGCACCCACCTCATGCAGCACCAGCGAGTGCACACAGGTGAGCGTCCCTATGAGTGCGACGAGTACGGGAAGGCCTTCAGCCAGAGCACCTACCTCACATAGCACCAGCGCATCCACACTGGGGAGAAGCCCTACAGGTGCGACGCCTGCGGGAGGGCCTTCAGTGACAGCTCAGCTCTGATCCGACACCTGCGAATCCACTCTGGAGAGAAACCCTATCAGTGTAAGGTTTGTCCAAAGGCCTTTGCACAAAGCTCCTCCCTCATTGAGCACCAGCGAATCCATACAGGAGAGAAGCCCTATAAGTGCAGCGACTGTGGGAAAGCCTTCAGCCACAGCTCAGCACTTATGGTGCACCTGAGGATCCATGTCACAGTACTGCAGTGAAAGGAAGTGCCCCTGGGCCATCTAAGAAACCTTGTGTTCTGAATGAGCCAAAGATAGGGTAGGTGACTGTCAAGTCCTCAGCATGAAACCATGCCTGTGGGCAGGCTGGGGCTGTCTGGGAACATCTCTGCATCTGAGGACCCAGGCAGAGGTCCCTGACAAACACAGGGAATCTTCCAGAAGGTGGCTGGGGCAAGGGAAGCAAGTGTCCTGGCCAAGATGCTCTGGACAGGGAGACCCCGGATGCTCTTCTCACTGGTTCCTCTGCTGCTCAGCCTGGAAGGGACACCTGCCAGGCCTGCCATCACATCTCCTCTACCCTATCTTGTGCCTAACACTGAAGTCAACTTGCAAGGCTTTTTTTTTTTTTTTTGGTGGGGCTGGGGTTTGAACTCGGGGCTTTGCACTTGAAAAGCAGGCACTACCACTTGAACCACACCTCCAGTCCATTTTGTGCTTGTTATTTTGGCAATGGAGTCTCATGAACTATTTGCCTGGCTGGCCTTAAACCGCCATCCTTCCAATCTCAGTCTCTCAAGTAGCTAGGATTATAGGCGTGAGTCACCAGTGCCCAGATAACTTGTGAGGCTTGAACCCCTCTCCAGACCCTCTAACTTATGTTCTCCTTCTGTTAGTCAGTGGTGCCACATTGTACCACATCTGTTCTTGCATTCTAGTCCTGTGGGGTTCACCTCAGGCTCATCTGAACTCTGGCCCCTTGTCTTCCACTGCTACCTCATGTGAACCCTCATTGCCTCCTGATAGGGTTATAGCACAGATCTCCCTCCTCACCCTTTCTGCCTTCATTCTTTCCCACAACTTCTTCCTTTTGGGGATTTTTCTGTTAACAAATCTGATTGTGTCACTCTTTGGTGAGAAGCCATCCAGTGCATCACCTGCAGCAAATGCTTCCTCCCCAAGTTACAAGAATGCCAGGATGCACATTGCTTTGGCCCAAGCAATCTCTCCAGTTATTCTCAGATGTGCATTTGAATATTGTTTGTGTGCAAAGTGGCTTCAAAGTGTCTCTGTGGGGCAAACCAAACTCCCAATCTGCCATTTGTGCCTACTCAGGCCTGGCCTTCTGCTCCCACCTGCTGCTATGGTTCCACCTGCTGTACACCAGCCATGTGGAACTGCTGTGGTTCCTACAGAAGCCATACTTTTTCCCCACCTACGTGCCTTTGTATTTGTACCTGAAACTCTTCTCTCCTTTTTGCTCTAGAATGTGTCAAATGCCCCTTAACAGAGAAGCCTCCCCAATCTCCTCCTCCTGACCGCAACTTGCCCTCTGCTGCTGGGCACCCTATACTTACCTCTCACACCTCCTGCCATGTCATTGCACTTACTCTTTCAGAGCCCAAACACCTCTGTTTTCCAGGACACAGAGATTAGTGTCTTACTCTGTCCACAATGCATAAAATGCAGCAGGCCCCAACTGACTTCTGAATGAGTGACTGGTGCCTTCCCTTGGCAGTCACTGTGATCCACCCCACCTTGTCCTCATACATATCAATATATACGGTCCCAGCTGTGGACCCTACAGGGCAAGAGCCGCAATGCCCAGACAAGCCCAGCTGCAGTGGCCACAAAGTGTGACTATTCCTGGCTAGCAAGCACAACACCCTGAGTTCAAGCCCCCAACCCCCACCAAAACAGTGTGGCTGTATTGAGCATTCCCTACCTAAGGTCCTCAAGCAGATGGAACTGTGCATTCGGGCCTCCTCTCAACTCTGTGTCCCTGTTCCTCTACCAGGGTCCATTTCTGGTGACCCCCATCAAGTGTGAACCATTTGACTTGCCATATTGTAAAGTCACTGTCACTATCTCTTCCTGCATATCTTCCTAGGTCAGTGTCTCTGAGAGGCACAGGCAGAGCCAGTCACACATAGTATGGCAGAAACTGAGAGAGAAAGGTGACAGGCACATTCCCAGTTAAATGATTATAGAGGTTGCCAGCAGGCTGCAAAGAACAGATGTGTCATAGGCCTAAAGTCAAGCTGCAGAGGCCTGCTCCTTCCAGCCAGGTGACTTCCCCAAACCTCAGTGACCTCCTTTGGAAAGCAGGAACAAAACCCACCATACAGAACCTGGCCTGGCATTCATCTCCACTTCTCTCAGTCTCTATCCCTCTGATGCTCGAGCATCGCCAACACCCATTTCATCCTAAGATGAGTGTCTGTCTAAAGGGGAGGAGGTCACGATGAGAGGACTCTTTACTGAGGGCCTGCACGTGCACTCAAGTGCTTTATCTGCAGCATCTCATATAGTCCTTAGTCAGCACTCTGAGGGCAGAACAACCATCCATGAGGAGAAGATGAGGGTAGAGGATGTACCTGACTAGCCAGTGTCACATAGCCAGGAACTGGAAGCACCCACATATGTCAACATTTCAATAAACAAAACTGTTTAATAAGCCAAGATAAGAGACGTTAACAGATTGAATTTCTTTTCAATCCAGCTATATATTCTTGAGACACACCTCAGACAGATAAGAAGTTGAAGGTAAAGGAACAGGAAATGATAACCAAAATAGGCATGAAGCAGAGAAAAGCTGATGGATCTGTATTAATTTTCTCTCTCTATATATATATAGAGAGAGAGAGAGAGAGAATTTTTTACAGCGCTGGGGTTGGAACTCAGGTCCTTAGCTAGTCAGGCACTGTACCACTTTAGCTACTCCATCAGTCCTTTTTTGTTTTGGGTATTTTCAAGATAGGGTCTAGCAAATTACTTGCCTGGGCTAGCCTCCAATCATAATCCTCCTGATTGCTGCTTCCCAAGTAGCTAGGATTATAGGCGTGAGCCACCAGTGCCCTGCTTTTATATTATTTTTTGAGATTGGGGCCTCACTGTGTTGTCATAATTTATTAGGAAAATGTACTAGTTTGAAACCAGACATCTCATGAACTACGTTCTTTATGATGGTTGCAGAGGAAATAATGGCCAGCAACTCCAAATTTGGCAAAAGACGTAAACATACAGGTCACAGTCATCTCAGAAATTCATACCCAGCCAGATACATCATAAACCGATTTATCAAAGTCCTGTGGTGTGCCAGGACCTCAAGGGCCAGGCTCCAGGCAGGGTTGGACAGTAGTCCAAGAGGGTGTCAGGTGGGACAGAGGGGCTCAGAGCATAGGGACAGTGGGGAAGAACAGAGGAGTCCAGCCACTTCCACAGCTCCAAGCTCTGTTGTGGGAGCCTGGCACCGTCCAGCACCACCACCCTGTGTACACTCCAACTGGGAGGACAGTACCACAAAATGCAGCATCTCTGAACCCCTTCCTGGTGTAGGGATCTATATGGTCAAGACAGGGTAGGGATGTCTGGAGCCTCAAGCTACCTGCCCACACTATCTGAGGACCAAGAGGCAGTTTGATGGAAGAGAAGAAAACTGGGCCCTTAGGACTGGCGGCTTCAAGTGGTAGAGTGCCTGCTTACCTGATGCAAGGCCCTGAGTTCAAATTACATTACAGAGAAAAATAAAAGAAAGTGTGTGCCCTCCATCAAGATCCAACTCAGAGCCCTCCCAATTTCAGGACACAGCATTAGCTCTGGTGAAACAGCCCTGGACTTGGGCAGTACTGGACATAAGCAAAGGCAGCTTTAAGAGTCTTTCTTGGCATTTATTTACTCTAGGGAGGAAGGAGGTAGATCCCTCTGCTGGTAGCCTGGCCTGGGCTGCAGCAGGAAGGATGGGAGCCTGGTCAGTATTCCGTCTTTTTCCAAGGACCCCCATGGCAGCCTGAGTCCACAGCTGGATCAGCTTCCTGGACAAAATGACGGAGAAGTGGAGTGGGGGAGACTTGTCAGGAAGTAGGGGCTTGGTCAGCGGCCAGCCACACCTCTCCTCTGCTACCATGATGCCCGCGGGCATTAGGCCATTAGCCAGTGCACAGCCCAGCGAGGGCAGGACGGAGACCCTCACCTGCCACCAGCAGCTCCACAGGGTCGCTGGGCTCGGACACGAAGTCCGCGGGCCACTGGGCGCGGTAGCGACAGCTGTAGTTTCCAGTGTGCTGGGGCCCCACGAAGGTCAGCGCCAGGTCGGCGGACTGCGAGTCGCGCGCGGCGCTGAGAGTCACCACGGGCTCGGCCTCGGCTCCGCGCAGCAGCTCGAAGACAACGTCGGGCACTCGACCCTCGCAGCGCAGGAAGGCATCGCGGCCCGCGCGCACCGGCCGCGTCCACAGGGCCCGGAGCTGAGGTTGGGGCGGCGGCCCTGCGCGGGAGACGGCCGTAAGGACCTGGCTGCTGCCCCGCCGCCGTCCACCCGCCCATCCAGGATCACGGGAGCCCCGAGGCTTATGGAGTCCCCACGTGCTGGCGGTGCGTCTCCGGGCGGGGACACAGGCCAAAGGCCTAGAGCCGGGACCTGGCCAGGCGACTCTGGGTGACCTCGGCCCCCTGGCGACCTTAATGGGGGAATTCAGATTCTGGAGAATTGCACATTCCCCCAGAGCCGTGGAGTCAAGCCCAACGGAACCAGGGATCGTCAGTATGACTGCAGCTGACACCACGTGTAGCACAGGGAAACTGAGGCAAGGGCAGGTCAAGCCCCCACACGCATGGGCAGTGAGGCACCCGCCAGGTCGAGGAAGTCAGGGACGCGCTCCGCTCGCCCACGCGCGCTCACCGTCCACGCGCAGCTCCACGGGTGCGCTGGGCGCGGACCCCGCGAAGGGCGGCGCCAGGTCCACGTAGACGCAGCTGTAGTTGGCGGAGTCCGCCGCCGACACGTCGCGCAGCTGGAAGACCGCGTGAGGCCGCCCGGGTCTCCGCACAGCCAGCAGGCGGCGCCCGCCCGGGTCCTCACGCTGCAGCGCAAAGCGCTTCCCGCCGCCTGGCGCGGCGCACCGCAGCTCCACGAGCGAGCCGGGGGCGATGCGCGGGCCCGCAGGCTCGGCAGTGAGCACCGGCGCGGGCAGGCTCTCTGCGGAGGAGAAGGCGGGCACGACTCGGGACCCATGCGTGACCCGTGGACCCTGGCTGAGCCTTCTGCTTGAAATGACGCACTGCCCACCTGGCCTCCAGGACTGGGGTTTGAACTCAGGGCTACATGCTTGCAAAGCACGAGCTCTACCACTTGAGCCATGCCTCCAGTCCATTTTACTCTGGTTATTTTGGAGATGGGGGGGCTGTCTCTTGAACTATTTGCCTGGAGCTGTCCTCAAACCATAATCCTCCCAATCTAAGCCTCCCAAGTAGCTAGGATTACGACGTGAGCCTCTGCGCCCGCCCGGCCATATCTCCTGAGATACTTTACAAACATCCCTACACTCTTCCCTGTCAATTTGTCTATGACACCGGGACGAAATCCAATGGTCCATGATGGATTCGCTTCATGGGCCCCAGTGGCAGGAGCCTGTGAACTGAGTCACGCGACGCCCTCAATCCAGTGTCCGGTGTTTGCCAAGGGTCATTGAGCCCAGGGCCTCCATAGGTTTGGCAGCCACCCTTGGCAGTCTGACATTCACACTCATTCCAAACCCTGGGCAGGTGGCACCTGGGAGGTCTGTGCCAGACCTGCTTGTTGACCCCATTGTTCACCAAGCCTCAAGGACTGAAGTCATTGTCCCATTTGCAGCTGGGTGGTGAGTTCTGCGTGTCCCAGGGTCCTGCCTCGGCCTGCCTGTCCTCACCCACCCAAGCCTGCACCCTCGTCCCCCGCCAGCCGCCAGGCTCACCGTCGCTCCGCACCAACTCGGTGGGCTCGCTGTCCTCGGACCACACGGTGTCCTTGCCGCGCAGCCGGTAGCGGCAGATGAAGGGACCTCCGTCTCCCAGCGCCTCGGTGTCCAAGTCAAAGAAGACACGGTCGGGACTGGTACTGCTCATTGGGACCTGCAGCTCCTTGTGCACAGAACCCTCCAGACGCCACAGTCCGAATTCAGCACCGCCCAGGGGCGCCACACAAATGAGGCCTACTCTGTTCCCGGGGCCCAGGATCTTGGGGTACTGTCCCCAAGAAGTCAGCACGGGTGGTGGTAGCACAGCTGCAAAGCAAGGACCACCTAGGTGACCAAGGTCCCTGTGAGAGGACCCAGGGGGATCCTGCAACATTTTTTCTGCCTTTGGTTGTCCATAGACCTGGGCCTGGACAGAGGTTCTGAGCATTTGTGGGGCAGACGACACTTACCCACCTCCTCAATGGTCACAGTGGCACTGGGCTCAGAGGGGCCACCTGCTGCATGGGTCTGGTAGCTGCAGCTGTAGTTGCCAGCCTGGTGGACAGGGAAGCTGGCTACTCCTTCCTTCCTTGTCTCAGCCACCTCCAGAAACTCATCATCACCTTCTCGCCTCAGCAGGAAACTCACACCCCGCAGTCCCCCATGGCACAGCAGTGTCACGTTCAGGCCCGGTATGATCCAGGACACTGGTTCCACGCTGAGCAAGGGTGGGGGCAAGGTCTCTGTGGATGGGGCAGGATGCTGTGTTTCTGCATAATGCACAAGACGCGGTAGCTCCCCTGAACCTGGGCCCCAGACTCACGAAAGTGTGAGGGAGCCAGGGAGATGGAGGGTGACAGGCAGAGAGGCAGGGACAACACAGAGCAAGAGGAAGTGTATAGGGCTGAACTGTGTGTCAGAACCACCCTAAGTGTGTATGAGTCAGCATAAACATCATCTCCATTTGACAGATGGAGAAACCAAGGCTCAGGGATGTCAGGTGACATCAGCCTCCTCCCACTGTTTACCTGTCCCTGTCACCTCCAGCAGGTTGCTCAGCTCAGTCCATGTGCCAGAAGACAAGCCTGAGCGGCAGCGGTACAAGCCCCTGTTATCATTTGTCACTGCTCCCAGTGGAAACTGATACTCCATGTCAGGTATGTCAAGGTGCACCAGCTTCTGGACCACCCCATCCTTGAACAGCTGGAAGTCCAGGGTCTCTAGGCGGGCCTGGCATGTCAGTGTCATGTCAGCCCAGGGTTCTAGCAGCGATTTGGAATCTGCCCACAGACTTGGTTGAGTCTTAAAAACTAGGGCGAGAAATCTGGGGTCAGCATGGTGCCAGGGATAGGGCCCCCCCGCACCCCCCCCACAGCCTGTGGCCCAACATCCCCAGGCCCCAGCCCTGAACTCACATACAGCGCCCTCAGCTGCTGGGCCTAGAGTGAGACCTACAGAGACAGAGCCTGTGAGGTCACATTCATACCCCTCCTGTCCCATCCCAGGGGCCCCCAAGGTTTTGAACACCTCACCCCAGAGTAGCAGTAAGGCCACGAGTGCAGACATGGTGGGGACCCACACTCCAGCTGCCTGCAAGCGTCTGCAGGGGTGTCTGTGTGGCAGGCTGGCCTAGGACACTAACCTCATCCATTGTTTGTTCTTGGAAGGCGGGGCGTGGGGAGGGGGCATGGGGACAAAGGGTGAACCTCCAAGGCCACCCCAGGAGCTTTAGCAATAATGATAGTCAATAATAATGAATAATTAACAAACAAAATTAATAATAAATTATTAAGTCTCATCCTCAGAATAGCAGTGGGGTCTTTTTCTTGGAGGGAACACAGAAAATCCTCCCCTCTTTCACATCTTACTGCACCCATGTGTAACATCAGAAGTGGGCGAACCTTGTGTTTCTATTTTCTGTAGTTACAGGAGCTGTCTGGAAGTGTGTCTTTACTCTTCCCTGGGAACTGTGTTTCCTTTTCCATCCAGTCAAATTTGACCCAGGGACATTCAGCTTAGACTTGTGCTTCCTGTCCCTGCTTGTGACATGTACTCAGGTGTGGACAGTTACCTTGGCCACTGGAAGTCAGTGTGTGGCAGTAGCCTACTCTAGGACGCTGGGCATTTCCCTCTCCCATGCTTCCACCTGTTAGGAGGGGAGAGGCCAGGGTGCTCTTACAAGTGCACCATGCAGAAGTCCTGTCCTTCCTGCCTCGAGAACCCACCCACACCCCCTTTCTTGCTACTCCTTTGGTCCATAACTCTTTATTGAGCATTGTCCAGAACACAGGACATCAGAAAGAAAGCAGGAAACTATCTACCCAGGCTCTGCCCACATGGAGCCTGGCCTGGTTTGGAAGACAGGAAGCAGAGGGTAGGTGCTAGGAAATATAAAGCTCAATGATACAATGGAGACTAGGGGGTAGAGGGGCCACATGACACCAGAGGGTCAGAGAAGGTTTTAGAGATCTGAACATCCAGGAAAGTTGAGCCCTTGATAACATCAAGGAGCACTCCAGGCATAGGAACAGGCAATACAAAGGCTGGGAGGCCAGACAGCAATGAGAAGGCCAGAATGGTCAGAGCAGAGAAGGCCTGGATGGTGAGTTTAGAGATGGGATGAAGCCCAGTCATGCTGGGCACTACAGGGGCTCTGACTTTTGCTTAGTGGGATGGTGAGACTCTGATGTCGTTTCCCTTCCACATTTGCTCAGAACCTGCTGCATGCTATACCCCACTCAATGCCAGTGCCTGGAAGGGGCTGCATGTAGGTGAGGCTGGGAGAGAATGTATCTTTTGCAGACAGACCATTTTATACAAAGGCTTGAAGGTGTCAGTAGGCCTTAGGGCACCCAGACAAGGAGTGGTGGCCTGGTCAGACAAACAGACACAAACTGGACACAGAACTGAGCAGTCAGACCACTGAACAATGGCTACACCTCAGCCTGTCAGTGGTGATCTGACCAGGCAAAGTGAGGCACAGTCAAATCAGAGGTCTGTAGTGATGGAGCTGGCAGCCTGACAGTGGGGAGCCTGTGTTTCTTTGGCACTGTCTTCCTAGCTTCAGAATTCTCATGTCATCACCTCCTCCCTTGGGTTTCCCCAGCTCTAGGGCTGGCAGTATTCATCTCTAGGTTTCAGCAACCCCCTCTGGGCCTTGCAAAATGTACATAACCAAGTCTTAAACTTACATCTCCTCTGCTTGAAATATTTAGTATAGTCTCTCTTCACAACTGGGCTCCATCTGAAATGGTAGCTAGTACTAAGAAGGGTTCCAAGAACAGAGCCACAAAGATGGGGTTCTGGGACAGATTTGGTTCTGACTTACTCAGAATGCAGTGTTGAGTACGTTTTGCCAGCAGAATACAGGACACAGTGGTGTCCTATTTAAACCATCACCTGTGGTAGGTTGAGATGAGTGTCCACTGAAGCCAGAGCTTTGGAGACCAAGCAGCCACTGTACCAAGTAGCCGAGGGCAGCAATGGTGACCATTCAGACTATGGGGTGGGCTGGCTGCTCAAGCTGCACAGCAAGACCCTGACCCTAGCTCACAAAGAGAGGACAGGAGCAGAGACAATCATGCTCAGGGCTTGAGCTCCTTAGTCAGGACCCAGAAAGCCAGAGAGACACTAGGCAAACCCCAAAAGAATTTCTGATGTCCTTTTATTTTTGTCTTGGCTTTCATTGTTTTGTACAGGGTCACACTGTGTAGACTAGGCTGGCCTTGAATGCAAGATCCTGCCTCACCTCCCAAGTGCCAGGATTAACAGTCATGTACCACCACACCTGGCTAGGATTCCTGACTTGTTGTCAGAGTAAATACAGAAGAAACTTGGACACAGAACTCAATTCTATGTATTGCAAAATCACAACCAACATTGTATGAATAGATCCACTGTGGGAAGGGGGTGGGGGCAGGGGGGAGAAATGACCCAAGCCTTATATGCACATATGAATAATAAAACAATTAAAAAAATAGATCCACTGTGCCTCTGTGAATTAGGGCAAAGACGGGGACTCATGCACAGGGCAGGCAAAGTGTGTGGGATGTAACACCCCTTCATCTTTCACATCCTTGACTGTGGCACTAATCTTTGCAAATCTCCATGGGAGGTGGGTTTATCATCCCAAAAGGGACCTTCCTATCTTCTTTTTTTTGGTGGGGAGGGAAAACAGGGACAAAGCAGGTGCTGTATCTCTTAAGCCACATCTTCAGTCCCAGGACCCCAGGCACCCAGAAATGAGGGTGTCACAGGTAGTGAGCCCACCAGAAGACAAACTTGAGCCATCAAATCCTGCTTTGCCCAGAAGACAGAGTGTTTGAGAATTAGTCTGGATCCAGCAATCTCTGAAAAATCTGGGTCCCCCAGCCTCTGAAACAGTGGTAAGCCTTCTGAAGATCTCTTCCTTCATTGAGACTGGCTTATCTACCTTCAGTCAGAGGTACTGGATCTGGAAACTGACCTAGGTCTGGAAGTTTTAGTGACAGGCTGTGAATCTTTATTCTGACAACTCAAATCAGACTTCTAAAACACTGGATCTAGATTATTTGTCACATAAGCCATGTAAGTTTAGTAGAGTACACATCCACTTCATTTCTAGGGATGCCCTGATCAATCTGTCATTACTTAAGACCTACAAAAATCTCACCTGAGGCAGTTGCCTGGCAAGGGGACCCCACATTCTCTCAATCCATCATCCCCTTACTGCCACTAGACACCCGTCCCTCCCTCCCCCCTCCCCTTTTCCTCTGGCCAGTACTAGAGTTTGAACTCAGGGCTTCACATTTACTAGGAAGGTGCTCTACCACTTAAGCCATGCCCCTAGCCCTAGACTTCTGTTGATCCTGGAGCTTCTGGATGGACAAGTGAGGGATACTGATTATACTCCAAAATAATTACAAGACTTTGCTCCTGTCATTGACATAAACTGGGGAACATCCACACAGAGATGAGCCAGAATTGGCATCTAAAGTATATTTGGTCCAAGGATGGGATACAATACTGGCCTGGATCAATGTTATCTATATGGGGCAGTTACAAGACTGGGTGCAGGTGTTAGCTAGAGCAGCTTGAATATCAAGTTAGTCTGGGAGTTTGACTGAGACCTGGACTCAGTTGTGGCCCAAATTCTACGAGACTTAAACTTCCAGAGCTCCTCTGGTATAATGTGGAGAAGAATCCAAGACTTCTGGACATAGGAACTTTGAAGTGCATTTATCATATGTAACATTATGTATATGCACAGCCCCCCACACACTTGCCAACCTCCCAGGCAGGCTCCCCCTGCCCCTCCTGTCCTAGATAGGCCTTGCTACTCACCTGCCATGGTCTGCTTTCTGCTTTCCCCATCCTATCCCCCACCTAGCCTGGTTTCCATCAACCCAAGCATCACCATCTCAAATCTTCCTGGCTGGTCTGTGTGTGGATAGTCTGCCCCTCTCAGAGAAGACAAGCAGGGGTGATGGCAGGAAAGAGATCCAAGACCCCCTCACTAAGCCTGTGCAGGACAAGAGGACCCTACCAACCTAAGGTCTGTGGATACAGTACTGGGTCCAGAGGAGCCAGAAGTACTTCAAGCTGGGCAGATTTTTTTAAATGGCCTTCTGGCTAGAACTGTGGAGAGAACAGACAAAATGCAAGAGTGAGGTGCCCCCTCCCATAAGATAAGCAGGTGAGACTGGGGATGTCAGATGCCCCTCACCTCCCCACTACACTAGGCCTCCTTCCACCCTCTGGGTTCACATCTACAAGGCTTTGGCCTCTCTCTGGCCCCTACCTGAAAAAAGAAAAATCCTTGTGCAGCCTTGTTCCAGATGGGAGGTAGGAAAGAAAGGTCTCCCATTCAACCCATTTCTGGGAGACACCTTGAGCCTTGGATCGCAAATTCACATGATTCTGAGAGAACACTGTACCAGCTGGGGCATCCAATTCTGGCCCATCTCTGCATGGCTGCACCTCATTGCAGGATCCGCATTTACTGTCTCCACTCTGTGAACTACTTTCCTTAGGTCAAGAAACACTGAAACATGTCCCAGCCAGACCCAGGGAATCAACAGAATACCAGCTGTAGATGGGATCCTATTTCTGGCCATGACTGGTGACTTCCTTTGAGTCCCAGCACGCTCAACACTCTCACGTGCAGCCCACTAGGGCAGGACCAGGGACAGTGAATTTACACCTCCAGGACTCCACCTCAGGGCCCTGGGTCAGCCACCACCAGGTGGCTGGCTGAGCTGACCCATCCTCACAACATTCAGCTCAAGTGTGGGTCGAGGTCAGGGTGCGACATGGTCCATGTGACGCTTCTGGTGCTCATTGATGTTGGAGCACTGGTTGAAGGACTGGCCACACTTGGAACATGCATACAGCCGCTGGGCTGAGGAGCTGGAGGCATTGGCACATGGGTGGGGCTCCACAGCAGGGCCAGCAGGGCTCTCCAGGTGAAAGCCTCGCTGGAGTTGCATGCACAGGGCTGCCCCACAGAGGAGCTCCATTGGAAGGAGGTCAATGGCAGGTTCCTCTGGCAGTTCTGGACCTCCGCCCCCAGTTGGCAGAGCTGACAGTCCTTTGGGACATCGTGCAGCTGTGCCCAGGAGCAGCCCCCAAGCAATACATGATCACCGCGGTGGTCACAAACAGGGGACTTTTCCCTGCGAGATGCTCTGTGATGTTGTGCCAGGGAAGACCTGGCACCAGGTGGGCTCTGACAGGGGCCCTCCCCTGCATGTGGCCCCAGAGAAGTGACCAGGTCGGGGTCCTGAGAGGAAGCGGGGCTGTAATGCTCCTGTACCAGAGGTCCAGCTCCAGTTCTGTGATGGGTCCCAGAGCTGGGGCTCAATTCAGGCTGCAGAACTGTGAGCTGCAGCCTGGGGGAGTCTTCCTGACACCAGTCATCCCTCTGCACAGGTCCTCATGGTAAGTGGGGCACCCACCAGCTCCATCCTCTTGGAGGTGCCCCTCCTCCCTTGGATCAGCCTTGGGGATTCCTCCCTGCTCTGCCTCCTGAGCTGGAGCCTCCATCCTGAGGCCAGGCTGCAACACTGATCCTGAATAGTGGTTCTGGAGAAACAAAGAAATAGAGGTTGGCAGGTTCCAGGTTGGGAGAAGTGGGAAACTAGGCCAAAGAATGACCAGTCCACAGATGGCCCTACTGGGCAGCCCTCAGCTCTGTCAGCCATGAGAATCCTGGAACAAGTCCCTCCTGTCCCTTTTTGAGGTGTCTGCCATGCCCCAGCTACCACCCAGATTCCACCTTTCCTCTCTTCCTACTCCCAAGTCACCCCTAGCTTGGCAGCCGAGCAGTGCCCCGCCCCCAGCACCCACAACCGGCACACCCCAAATGCTGGGCTGGCACTCTTCAGAAGCCTACCTCCCCTCCTGGCCCCTAGTCCTCCAGAGGCAAGCTCAGTGCCCTCAATACTCCTGGCTCCCTGCCTTGGCAAGGCCTGACCCCATTCACCTGCCTGCCCCCATCCATCTCTTCTGGGAGGTGTAAAACAGGACTCACCTGGAACCTAAGAGCCTAGTCAGGAGGACAATGTCACAGGGTCCAACACTGGGCCTGCCCTTCCCCACTTGGACCAGGTAAGCATGGCTCTCTCAGAAACAGCAGCCTCATCTACAAAGTAGGTATAACTATAAACAAACAGAAGCATGGGGCCTAGCAACCCTCACCATCCCTGCAAGTGAGGACACTGGGAAGGCCTGTTGCTTGCTATCACTATTTTCAGGTTCCACTGTAGTACTATGAGTTTCCTTCTGATGGTGTAACAAATTGCCATAAATTTTAGTAGCTTAGATCAATGCAAATTTATCATCTCACAGTTCTCGAGGTCAAAAGTACTAAATCAAGGTTTTGGTAGTGTTGGCTCCTTCTGGACGCACTAGGGGAGAATTTGTTTACTTGATTTTTCCAGCTTGTAGAAAACTTTGTCTCTTGGTCCTGTCTTCCATTTTTAAAGCCAACAATGAAGCATCTTCAAATCTCTCACGTTCTGGGTCTGCTATCACCTCTCCTTACAGAACTCTGGCTCTCTGCCTTTTTTGCTCTGTTTTGTTTTGCAGTACTGGAGACTGAACCCAGAACTTCAAGTACACTACAACTTGAGCTATTCCCACAGCACTTTTGTTTGTTTTTGAGACAAGGTCTAGCTACCTTGACTGGGTAGGCCTCAAACTCAATACTTCTGCTCCCTAGTAGCTGGAATTATAGGAATATACTACCATACCTAGCTTTGTACCTCTCATATAAGGACACTTGTGATTATACTAGGTCCACCAGAAATAATCCAGAATAACCTTGCCATCTCAAGATCCATAAATTGATCACAACTCCTCATCCCTTGCTATGTAAAGGTTCTGGGAACTAGGTCATATCTATCTTTTTTTTATACTGCACACCAAAGAGGCCTTTTCTGAGCTGCTCACAGTTCACTGAGAAAACAGAGTATGGATCAAGATGCAGTGTAGGTTGAACAAATTGTTAGTCTGGAACTGAAGTATAAACAGCTCAGATAGTCTCACTAGGGAAAAGCTCCTGATGTGCAGAACAGGGAAGAAAACTACAATGTGTACCCAACAAACATGGAGGAGTCTACCCTTGAAGGCCCACCTGGTAAACAGACTGATGTCAGACAGGGAAACTAGGGAAACTGAATAAAGGAGTGAGAAGACTGAAGTGCATGAAGCCTAAGTTTGTCCTTGTTGGAAAAAAAGTCACAAATACGGAAAAAGAGGCTAAAACAAACCCTGTGTCATCACACTGGAATCATAATGTCAGTGCATTTATGACTTTTAAGACACAGTGATCAAAGTTAAAATACACATGTACAAATACAAGTCTCCTGGGTGAGCAGTCCATCTGTAAATGTTTGAAAAAGGGAAAGGAGGAAGAAGTGGAGGATGACTTGCATTCCTCATCATTGACAGTTCCCAAGAATCTTAAAACTGACTATAAGAGGCCATGGATAAAAAAACAGAATTCCTCTAGGTTCTTGTTGCTTACAGAACTTCTCCCACACAGCCAACTGTATACCAGAACACCAAGCACAATTTTCACATCAAAAATCTTAAGCTCTCAATAACAGTGTTTTGTTCAACCAGGTGCCTTTTTTTGGGGGGGGGCGGCGGGGGGAGGCAGCACTGGGGTTTGAACTCAGGGCTTCACACTTGCTAGACAGGGGCTTTTACTACTTGAGCCACTCCACTAGCCGCCCCCCCCCCACTTTTTTTAAGACAGAGTCTCACTATACAGCTCAGGCTGGCCTGGAACTGAAGATCCTCCTGCCTCAGCCTCCTGAGTGCTAGGATTACAGGTGTATGCCACCACACCAGGCTACCAGGTGCCTCTTTCTTTTAAGGTCACACAGTTTTGGTAATTACCAGTGTGGCAATCAGTCACAGACAACTAATAAACTGTTAGTGACTGCTCCAGCACCCCTGATAAAAAGTAGGTGGGTCATGGGGAGGATTCACCTGATCCCTTGTAATGGGAAGTCAAAATGACTGTGCCCTGCCTGGACAGAAGGTCAGAAGGAAGCCAGTTGTTGCTGGAAGAGCAGCAGCCTCCACCTGGCAGGAAAGGACCTTGAACTCATGAGAAGTCGGGGGCTGGGAGATGTCTGTTAGCCACATATACAGAGCATTTCCAGGAAACTTCCTAGATGCCCTGCTGACATGGGTGGCTCCTCTGCCCTCTACTTCTGAAAGAACCTGCCTCCCAGCACCAAAAACAGGCCCCCGCTCCCAGCCTTCACCATCTAACTACTCCACACATACCAGGATATTCTCTGGCCATGGCCCAAGCATTGAGGCTATGCATGGCAAGAATAATCTGGGCTTCCAGGTCCCTAGAGCTGGGGAGCCTGCCCCAGCCCTACATTATAGCTGTCCCAGGACGACAGTGACCTCCTGTTTGCTACAGGTGAGCATACACCTTTTCTTTTTTTTTTTTTTTCTATTTATTTGTTTTTTTTTCTTTTATTATTCATATGTGCATACAAGGCTTGGTTCATTTCTCCCCCCTGCCCCACCCCCTCCCTCTCCCCCCAACCCCTTCAATACCCAGCAGAAACTATTTTGCCCTTATTTCTAATTTTGTTGTAGAGAGAGTATAAGCAATAATAGGAAGGAACAAGGGTTTTTGCTGGTTGAGATAAGGATAGCTATACAGGGCATTGACTCACATTGATTTCCTGTGCGTGGGTGTTACCTTCTAGGCTAATTCTTTTTGATCTAACCTTTTCTCTAGTACCTGTTCCCCTTTTCCTATTGGCCTCACTTGCATTTAAGGTATCTGGTTTAGTTTCTCTGCATTAAGGGCAACAAATGCTAGCTAATTTTTCAGGTGTCTTACCTATCCTCACCCCTCCCTTGTGTGCTCTTGCTTTTATCATGTGCTCATAGTCTAATCCCATTGTTGTGTTTGCCCTTGATCTAATGTCCACATATGAGGGAGAACATACAATTTTTGGTCTTTTGGGCCAGGCTAACCTCACTCAGAATGATGTTCTCCAATTCCATCCATTTACCAGCGAATGATAACATTTCATTCTTCTTCGTGGCTGCATAACATTCCATTGTGTATAGATAACACATATTCTTAATCCATTCGTCAGTGGTGGGGCATCTTGGCTGTTTCCATAACTTGGCTATTGTGAATAGTCCACAATAAACATGGGTGTGCAGGTGCCTCTGGAGTAACCTGTGTCACAGTCTTTTGGGTATATCCCCAAGAGTGGTATTGCTGGATCAAATGGTAGATTAATGTCTAGCTTTTTAAGTAGCCTCAAAATTTTTTTCCAGAGTGGTTGTACTAGTCTACATCCCCACCAACAGTGTAAGAGGGTTCCTTTTTCCCTGAATCCTCGCCAACACCTGTTGTTGGTGGTGTTGCTGATGATGGTTATTCTAACAGGGGTGAGGTGGAATCTTAGCGTGGTTTTAATTTGCATTTCCTTTATTGCTAGAGATGGTGAGTATTTTTTCATGTGTTTTCTGGCCATTTGAATTTCTTCTTTTGAGAAAGTTCTGTTTAGTTCACTTGCCCTTTCTTTATTGGTTCATTAGTTTTGGGAGAATTTAGTTTTTTAAGTTCCCTATATATTCTGGTTATCAGTCCTTTGTCTGATGTGTAGCTGGCAAATATTTTCTCCCACTCTGTGGGTGTTCTCTTCAGTTTAGAGACCATTTCTTTTGATGAACAGAAGCTTTTTAGCTTTATGAGGTCCCATTTATCTATGCTACCTCTTAGTTGCTGTGCTGCTGGGGTTTCATTGAGAAAGTTCTTACCTATACCTACTAACTCCAGAGTATTTCCTACTCTTTCCTGTATCATCTTTAGAGTTTGGGGTCTGATATTAAGATCCTTGATCCATTTTGAGTTAATCTGGGTATAGGGTGATATACATGGATCTAGTTTCAGTTTTTTGCAGACTGCTAACCAGTTTTCCCAGCAGTTTTTGTTAAGAGGCTGCTATTTCTCCATTGTATATTTTTAGCTCCTTTGTCAAAGACAAGTTGGTTATAGTTGTGTGCCTTCATATCTGGGTCCTCTATTCTGTTCCACTGGTCTTCATGTCTGTTTTTGTGCCAGTACCATGCTGTTTTTATTGTTATTCCTTTGTAATATACTTTGAAGTCAGGTATTGTGATACCTCCTGCATTGTTCTTTTGACTGAATATTGCCTTGGCTATTCGTGGCCTCTTGTGTTTCCATATAAATTTAAGGTAGATTTTTCAATCTCTTTGATAAATGTCATTGGAATTTTGATGGGAATTGCATTAAACATGTGATTACTTTTGGGAGTATCGACATTTTTACTATGTTGATTCTACCAATCCATGAGCATGGGAGATCTCTCCACTTTCTATAGTCTTCCTCAATCTCTTTCTTCAGAAGTGTATAGTTTTCCTTGTAGAGGTCTGTCACATCTTTTGTTAGGGTTACACCTAGGTATTTGATTTTTTTTGAGGCTATTGTAAATGGAATTGTTTTCATACATTCTTTTTCAGTTTGCTCATTGTTAGTGTATAGAAATGCTAATGATTTTTCTATGTTGATTTTATATCCTGCTACCTTGCTATAGCTATTGATGATGTCTAGAAGCTTCTGAGTAGAATTTTTTGGGTCTTTAAGGTATAGGATCATGTCGTCTGCAAATAGGGATATTTTGACAGTTTCCTTACCTATTTGTATTCCTTTTATTCCTTCTTCTTGCCTAATTGCTCTGGCTAGGAATAGCATACACCTTTTCCATGCCAATCGTTTCAAACTGTTCCCAGGGTTGCTGGTGTTGAGGGCAGATTGCAGAGCAACCACCTTAGGGCACAGGGGACCTGAGAAATTAAGGTGTCCAAGGCTGAGCCTTGCAGAGCCAATGGGCAAGGGTATACACAAGAAGTTTAGTGTTTTCAACTCCCTCAAGGAATCTGGACGCTGCTCAGTGAGGTCTTGTCAACCCAAGAGGATATGCAGGGTGGGTTTGAGGTGTGGCAGGGTGCCCAATTCGAGGTGGCTTCACCTCTCTGTGTCACAGGACAACCTCATTCCCACTGACAGTTCCTGTCTGTCCTATTGTACAAGGTACACGCGGTGGCGACAGCTGTGCACGACACAGTAGGGCAAGAAGAATGTACTCAACCTGCAGGCACGACTCCATTCTCTGCTTGTTCTCTCCATGAAACCTCCATCCTTCCGGGTTGGGCCTCATGGAAAAGCAACCTTCAACACACAGGCCTGGGCTGGGCATGTAGCTCGGTTGTTGAGCGTTTGCCTAGCATGCACGAAAAAAAAAATAATAATAAAACAGGACACATGAGGTGAGTGCAGAGAAAAAACGAACAAGGAGACATTTTAGGAGAAAAAGACATGAAGAACATCCAACTGCGAGCAGCTCCACAACGTGGGCGAGGAAGGCGGCGGCTGGCTCCAGCCTTTTTGAGGTGGGAACATTGGAGCCGAATCTGAAGCGGAGCCACAGCTGGGCGCCCATGGCTCACGCCTGTAATCTCAGCTACTCAGGAGGCAGAGATCAGGAAGATCGCGGTTCGAAGCCAGCCCGGGCAAAATAGTTCGCGAGACCTTATCTCAAACAACCCGTCACAAAAACGGGCTGGAGTGGATCCAGGGGTAGGCCCTCAGTTGAGGCCCCCCACCCACACACACCAAAAAGAAACAAAAAAACGAAGAGCCGCCAGGTGGCAACTAGGAAGGGAAACAGCAAGTGCAAGTCAGGAAGCGGGACTGGAGACAGAAGGGGGGACAGCGTAGGCTACTGTAAGGAGATGGGTTTGGTTCCGAGAGGCGTAGGCCTCCCCTCGTGGACCTCTGTCTCCCATTTACAACAGCAGACGCAGAAACCAGAATTACAGCCCGCAAACCTCTCCGGAACTGAAGGACCAGAGCACTATGGTCCATCCCGACCAGAACAAACGGACCGGAAGTGCGCTGCTTTATGCCTCCGCCTGGATCCAGCGCTCGGGGGTGGTGAAGGCGTACTAAGTGCCTAAAGGACCCCAGGCTTGACGGTCTGGTTGGCAGTACGAACAGAATACCACTTACTCGCTGGAGGCAGCCCCCACGGGTCTCCTGGTCCCCGACGCGCACACAGCGCCCAGCTTTCCTTTCGCCTCCTCCAGGCGTCTGTGGCACTGAGGTTTTGGGACCGCTGCACGGAAGGGCAAGAGCCCGCGCGAGGGCTGCTGGGAAATGTAGTTCCGCTGCGTCCCACTTTGATGCTAGCTGTAAGATGTGAGAGTAGGAAAACTGGTTGTCACGGCAGCAAAGGCAGCCGATTCCCCCCCCTCCCCCACTCCCGCCCCAGTGAGGTTCGACCTGTGTCGTCAAGATGGCGTCCAGGAAGGACTTGCCATCCCACCCACTAGGCGCAGCAAGGCGGCAGATTGGCCAGAAAGATTATTGATAGTTCTTGCGCCTAATAAGGCTTCCGAGGAGTCCGACCCTGAAAGGGCCAGCGTTTCCCAGCCACTTTCGGCTAACTGCGTGCGCCTGGCTCTGTTGTGATGTTTTATATAGGAACGTAATCATATACTACAAAATTATTTTGTGGTGTGCAATTCAGTGTTTTAAAATATACCCACAAAGTCATGCAACCAACACCACTGCCTAGTTTCAGAACACTTTTATCACTCCTGAAAGAAACCCTGTACCCTTAGCCATACTCTTTATTCACCACTCCCTCCAGCCTCTGGTACACGTGGCGAGATACCTGGGGTGCCCTGAAACGTCCCAGTGAGCGGGCTACTCTACAGGCTGATGAAATGAAATTTCGTGTGGCGTCGAGCTCCCCAGGTGATTCAAATATGTGCGGCCCTCTTAGAGAACCACAGTCCCCTAGTCACAAAGGTGCTGCTAACTCTACTTGCTCTTCATGTCTTCAGTAGCTCAAGAGGCAGAGGCAGTAGGACAAGACTCTGAGAACAGTCAGGTGCGGTGCCTAATGCTTGCAATCCTAGTTACTCTGGAGGCAGAGATTGGGAGGATCACAGTTGAAGGTCAGCGTTGGCAAAAAGTTAGTGATTCTCCATGTCAATAAGCACAAGTGATCCCAGTTGCTAAGAAGGCTGTAGGTAGGAGGATTATGGTCTGAGGCTAGCCCCAGGGAAAAACATAAAACCCCACCAGAAAAATAAAGCAAAAAAGGGCTTGGGACGTGGTTTAAGTACTACAGTGCCTGTGAGTTTGAGGCCAGTCTGGACTACAAAGCAAGATCCTGTCTCAAAACAAAAACAACAAAAGATACAGTAAATAGAGTGGTCAGAGGAGGCCTCATGGAAAAAGTGTGATTCAAGGCAGAGCTTGGCTTGATATCTTTCGGTGAAAAGCAGGGTTTTTTTGTTTTGTTTTTTTCAGTACTGGAGTTTGAACTCAGGGCCTCATGCTTGCTAGGCAGGCACTCTACCACTTGAGCCACACCTCCACACCAGCAGGTTGGGAGAGACTTTTGCAAGTGCAAAAGTCATGAGGAGGCTGAAGGGTGATGGGGCCATACCCAGGGGATCCAGCAGGCCATGGTACACTTTTCCTGTGAATGACACAGTAACCACGGAGGGGTCTAAGCAGGGGAGGGACAAAGCCTGACTTCAGTTTTCACAAGCTCCCCTGGCTGCTCTAAGCAGCATAGGCATTTTCCTCTTTGGGAAACTGGCCAGGTATTTGAAACTCCATGGCTGGACTTGACTTCTAGACACAGGAGCCTACATGTTCTGACTCAAGTTAGAGACATTCCCCCTTCCCTTCCTCAAGGGCCAGGTGTCCAGACAGAAACCCAGCAGATGGACTGGCCTGCATCCCCAGCCCCATCTGTCTAGGTTAAAAGGCCAATCACTTAGCAAGACCTGAAATCTGCCCCTTCTCCTCACCCCATGACCCTGTTAAAGAGCCTCATCCCTTTCCCACCCCATTCAGTTTCCACTAAGCCTGAGGGATCCAAGACTCCACACTGAGGTTGCCAAGTGGAAACAGAATGCAAAAGAGAGCCCACAAGGGAAGTAGTTCTGGCATTCAAGTCAACCAGACTGTGTCTTGGGGGTATGGGCCTTCTTGCTTTATAACCTTTGTGATCCCATATACCTTCCCTGCATTTTCTCCAATAAGTACCTATTTCTTCTAGAAAAAGACATAAAATCAGGAGGCTTCACATTTTTGCTGTCACAACACTGCAGCAACCCCCTTGTCCTCCTAATAGATAGGACGGGTTATCTTCTAAGGAGCAGCAAAGAACCACACCACTTTAGTAAGCTCAAACTGTGTGTAGCCCCTGTTCTAACTTAGACCCTCAGCTGGTAGTTCTGTTACTGGGCTGAGTGGTCCCAAGATCTTATGTCACCTGAACAAAGAACTAAACAGAGACACAAATTGCAAAATAGTAACAAAACTTTACTGAAAGAAAAGGGAAGAAAGAGTAAGAGAAAGCACCACAAGAGAAAAGGTGGTGGGCTCCTGCCCTGTAGCACCACAGCATTGACCAATATTTTTAAAGACCAATTTATATGTTGTAAAGTGGAAAATCTGGGCAGTCCTTATAGGAAGGTGATCAGATGGCTGGGAGATTTAATTAACACACCTCATCACATAACATGGGATGTTCTGTACATGTGCTTATGCTAATTTCCAAGCCTTTAATTGTTTGTATGAGATGCCACCGATATTCATAAGGTCTTAAGCAGAGGACTTTAAGTCCCCAGAGAGATCAAAAGGGGGCAGACCTCCCTTTTACCAGGTAAATCCAGCTCAGAGCACCCTCTGGACACTTTCTTGCAAAGATATTTATGACTGCCAGGGTACGTACAACTTGGGATTTATTGTTCTAGAGATGGCTCAGGGTGGTGCTGGGGGAGTAGTAGAAAAAAAGTCTAGCTTGGGGTATCTATTTGCTTAAGAGAAGGGAGTCCCAGCCAGGCGCTGGTGGCTCATGCCTGTAATCCTAGCTACTCAGGAGGCAGAGATCAGGAGGATCACAGTTTGAAGCCAGTCTGGGCAAATAGTTTGCAAGACCCTATCCTCACAAAAAAAGGCTGGTAGAGTTGCTCAAGGTGTAGGCCCTGGTTTAAACCCCAGCACCACCAGAAAAAAAAAAAGAGAGAGAGAGAGAGAGGGAGAGAAGGGGGTCCTATGGTGGGTTATTTTCCTGTTACTAGCCTGCCTCAGTTCCAACAGCTGGAAGTAGTTAGGGTTTTTTGTTTAGAACCTGACATAGAGCAGAGCTCCATAAAACTCTGGTAAATGAATAACTCATTTTAAAGTACATTAACTGAGACTGCAAGAGGATGGGTGACACACCAGTGGTACACAAGATTCTGGCTGTGGAATCTAAACGCCTTCTTTGGGCTTCACTTGTCAGCCCAAATTTAGGAAGTTGAACCTACACTTTACAGGCACTATTCTATACTTTACAGCACACCCAGGAAGTAAGAACCCTCAAGGCCACTATCCAGTCTGGACATAATACCAGCAGTCCTACAACTATTAAGTTAGACTCTGGATCTTGTCCCAGCATCCTAGGGGCCTGAGGACCCAGTTTACCCTTGGCCTGGCAGCATCTTATCTGTGCAGGGCAACCTCTGCAATGCTCCCTGTTCAACAACAGGGCCATGCCCAGGACCCCTCACCTCCCTCTGCCACCTGGTGGGTCATTTTTGTATGGTCTATGAAGATGTCCAATGAAGTGACCACAGAGACCAGCCACCCAGTCTAAACTGGACTTTTATGTGATCATGTTGGACTGGTGGAGTGGCTCACATGGTGGAGACCCTGAGTTCAAACCCCAGTACTGCCAAAAAAAAAAAAACTATGTGATTGTGTTCTCATTTCTTTTTTTTTTGGTTATGTTCTCACTTCTATGCTGAAGGAGAAACAGATTCAGTGGTGGCCGTGTCAGCTTGGGTGAGTAATTTTTAAATTTTCACTTATTTATTTTTTGTCAGTAATGGAATTCAGGGCCTCCAGCTTGCTAAGCAGGTGCTCTACCACTTGAGCCACACCTCCAGCCCTGTTAGCTTTTGAAGTAAAGCAAGGTGAGGAAGCCCCCAAAGCCACCTTCGGGGCACAGCCCCATAATTTTCCGAGTTCACTGACTTAATTTTTTTTTTTCCTTTGGCGGCACTGGTGTTTGTGTTTTTTTTTTTAAACTTTTTTTTGGTGGAGCTGTACTGAGATTTGAACTCAGGTCCTCACGCTTGCTAGGCACGTGCTCTACCACTTGAGCCACTTCATCAGGCACCCCCCTCCCCGCCCCATAGTTTTCTGCCTAAGGGTGTAGGCTTACTGTGCCCCACAGCGTGAACTGAGGCCCAGAGAAGGAAGCTTTATACCACCAAAGACCCCGAGATTGTTCTGGGAACTACTCGGCCCTGTTTACAAGAGGCTTTTCTTGGTGCACCTGGCGGCGGGACAGGGGGCTGTGTGGGCAACTGATCTCTATTTTGTGGCTGTAGTCTCATCCCTCCAGAGCTCAGTGTAGTTCAGAGAAGCAACTCTAGGAGCCGGGTGTGGAGACTTCCCCCAAGGAGTCCCTGGTCTGCCAGCCCTGCATCCCCTTTGAGCCTCCCACCCCAAGACCTCGGGCCTCTTGTCTGGGCGTCCTCCCTTCCTCCGGCCGGACGCGATGCCTGGGCACTAGAGGCTGAGGTCGTGGCCGGGAGTGACCATGTGGGACGGAAACAGAAGGAAGCCGCTGCCTGAACCTCCGGATTCGCTGAGCACAAAGTGCCGGACCGGGGGAGGGACGCGCGAAGCGACCGGGAACCAGCGGATGGCAGTCACGAACGTCAAATCCAGACCTGGAGCGCGCGTTAGCAGCTGCGAAGGCGACGAGGAATAAGAGGATGCTGCTCGAAATCCATCAAGGGTGGTGTGTGAGGTCAGAGGCCTAACCTACGGAGCGCAGACCCTACTTCTGCCCTTATTAGACATGGCGGCGTTGACCTCTCTGACATCTCTGCGCTTGTGCTTAGGTCCACAAGAACTGGCAGGCTTGCTTGTTTGTGGGTCCGCTTCTTCAAATCCGCATGCGCCCGAGATGAGCGCGTCCTGTTCGGCGCAATGGGCTCCTTTCATACTCGTTTCAGATTGGCTCATGAACACGCTAAAACCTTATGCGTCGCCAACGCTGACCCGGAAGTTTTCGTTCCTCTTAAAAGCGTCAGCCTGCATCGCGCGGCCTTTTCCTGTCTGTGTCAAGGCGGCGCGTGGTGCAAGCGGAGCTACAGGGAGGCTCCGACTGAGTCTTCAGGTGAGACTGCTGCGGGGTTACGGCAACAAAAGACTGTCCAGGGTCTTCCGGGGACGTCTTCTGGAGTGCTTTGGGAGGGTCCGAGGTTAGGTTTTCCTTCTCTAGGCTTCATCTCTATCTCCGGAAAAAGGGTCCCCAGGAAATGTGCGTGGATAGTTACTATTTGCTTGTCTTTCCTTTTTACTTTGAGTTTATTTTGGTGGTACTGGGGGTTGAACTCAAGGCCTTGCGCTTGCTAGGCAGGCGTTCTGCCACTTACATCTCCAGCTCCCTCTTACCTTCTTGTTTGTGCTGTCGACATAGCGGGGCTTTGGGATACTGATTTGGGCTCTAAACACCTGGATAGGAATTTCTGGTTTTCTTAGCTCCAAGAAGCGTTTTTTGCTTTATACACGATTCCCTCTCACTAGCAGCCCCTAGCGTCTCTCTAGTGTCACCAGAATGCAAACATTTGCATTTGTTATTACGCAGAATTCGTACAGTGGTCCTTGATGCTATTTTGCTGATAAAGAAGCTAAGTTCAAAGCAGTTTGTTGATTATCCCAGGGTCGACGACTGTGTAATTGACTTGGATGGGATTTGATTCCCGACTGATGGAATGGTGGGATGTTTAGCATCACCTGCGTAGCCACTATGGCGCGTTCCATGCAGCAGCTGTTGACTAGGTGATTGCCAAGTCTTGGATAAGAAGCAGAACTTATTACAGCTAAGTAGTTTTCCTGAGGCTGAGAGAGATGTTACAATTTTCTGTGGTCTTTTCTGACTCCCCAGTTCACCACGGGATGGGGGTCAGTCTCAGTTGCAGGTGAGTATGACAGTGTGCCAGGCTGACTGGGCTCTGACAGTTTGTTCATACCTTTACCCTGTCACCAGGATGACCGAGTGGGAGACAGCTGCACCAGCAGTGGCAGAGACCCCTGACATCAAACTCTTTGGGAAGTGGAGCACAGATGACGTGCAGATCAATGACATTTCCCTGCAGGTGAGGGGGACATAGTGGTTGGTTTCGGTTGGGGGTTGAGAGCAGGTGTCAGTTCTTTTTTACTTTTGCAGTACAGGGGTTTGAACTCACAACCTACACCTTTGAGCCACTCCACCATACCTTTTTTTGTAAAGGGATTTTTTGAGATAGGAATCTCACAAACTATTTGCCTGGGCTGGCTTTGACCGCAATCCTCCTGATCTCTTGCCTTCTGGAGTTAGCCACCAGTACCTAGCTCGGTTATCAATTTTTCCAGTAGGATAGGTAAAGGAGAGAGATCCCTAGACCACCATATTCTCTCTTTCTTATATCCTGCCCAAAGGTTGCTACAGTGGTTCTGTGATTTTTGTTGGTTTGGGGTTTTTTGGTGTTGGGAATTGAACTCAGATCCTTGTGTGTGATGGGCAAGTGTTCTGGCACTAACTTACATCCTCAGACTCACTGCAGGTTTTTTCTGCCCATATCCGAGTATACTGTTGTGTGTTGGGTTTTTTGGTTTTGTTTTTTGGGGGAGTGAAACATATAATTCACCCATTTTAAAATGTAGGAGTCCAGTGTCATTCTTTTTTATGTGGATATCCAGTTATCTATCACCATTTGATGAAAAGACTGTTTAACCAATTGAATGGCCTTGGCATCCTTACCAAAAATAAGTTGGCCAGGGGTGTGTGTGTTTCTCTAGACTATAAAGTTTTGAAATTAGAAATGGAGTTCCACCATCCCTCCTTAGCGCCAGGATGGTGGAACTCAGGACCTTTAGCATGTATTCTTATTAGTAAGTCATAGTTGTATCCCTCACACATAGCTTTTTTTCTTTGCCCACAAAACTTCATGAATGTTGTGGACCTTAGGAGCTTTGCTTTTATAGGCTCTTCATTAATAAAAGTTACACTTTGTGACTACATTGGTATAAAGATGAATATAAATCAGGCTTATTGTGTTTTTCCCTTTATGTTTTAGAAGGAATTAAAACATTTGTTGCCTCTACCACAGGACTCACACACCTAAAGGATAATTGAAGTGTGGTGTTTTTTTGTTGTTGTTTTGTTTTTGTTTTTAACATGAGCCCCAACCCCCAGCCACAAATTGTTAAAGGCTAGATGGTAAATGTTTTGGGCTTCACAGGCCACATTGGGTCTCAATTACTTATTTATATGGTTCTTTTTTACACGACTCTTTAAAAATTAAGAATTTTTCACTGTACCTTGGTCTATTATAAACATTTTGTGGCTGCTATTAGGGTATAGGAAAGTAAAAATCAGTGTAGCACTGGAGTGCTCACTGGTTTGAACCAGATATGTAGGCCCTTCTCTCCAAGGTAGATGTTGAACTGAATTTCAGGCTCCTGTGTTCTTTTCCCCATCATTTCATTAGTCAAAACACATCTGTGGGCCAGACAAACAGTTCAGGAGACCCTGTCTCAAAAAAAGGGCTGATGGAGTGGCTCAAGATATAGGCCCTCAGTTCAAACCCCAGTAGCACATTAAAAAAAAAAAATTTTGTATCACATGAATACTAGAATGGCCATGTGTACATTTTGTGACTTGCATACACATAGCTTCCTCTAATTTTGTCTGCTGTTCTTGTTCAAGATTAATATTTTGGCATGTTTCTAGACACTGTTCTAAAGCTACGATCCTCTGGTCTGGGTGGTCGTTTTCCCCATTAGGGAATACTAGGCAATATCTGGATACATTTTTAGTTGTCAAAACTCAAGGAGATTGGGCTCTGGGGTCTCATGCCTATAATCCTAGTTACTCAGGAGGATTGCTGTTTGATGCCAGCCTGGGCAAATAGTTTGTAAGACTCAATTTCAAAAAAAAAAAATCACCAAAAAGGGCTGGTAAAGTAGTTCAAATGTCAGTACCACCAAAAAAAAAAAAAAACCCTCATAGGAGTGGCTGCTGGCAAACTAGTGCTGCTAAATGTAAACATCCTATGTTACACAGGACAGCTCTCCTCCCAACAAAAAAATTGTCAGAAATGTCCAGAGGAACACTTGTAAAAGACTGGAATCACATTCCTCACTTCCATAATAAAGGAAGTACTCTTCTAAGTGACTTGGCAAATCATTTTAGGTTTTATTTTCTCAAAGCAGGTGGCTGCAACTGGGATTGCACTTAGCTGAGGGCTACCTTGAGTGGGCTACCCTGGTTCCTGGCTGAGGCCTGCCTATTCTGCTTCTGACTGACCCTTCACATTCCTTCTCCTGCTGTTCTAGGATTATATTGCAGTCAAAGAGAAGTATGCCAAGTACCTGCCCCACAGTGCAGGGCGCTATGCCGCCAAGCGCTTCCGCAAAGCACAGTGCCCCATCGTGGAGCGTCTCACTAACTCCATGATGATGCACGGTCGGAACAATGGCAAGAAGCTCATGACTGTGCGCATTGTCAAGCATGCCTTTGAGATCATCCACCTGCTCACTGGTGAGGTAGGCTTTGTGGCAAGGCTATGCCCTGGGTACTTGCCAAAGCCCCACAGTATGCATGCCAGGTCATCCTGTTCAGAGTTGAGGATTGGGGAGGAGCACCTGGGACCAGACATCAGGCTCATAGCCCCCTTCTCTCACAGAACCCTCTACAGGTCCTGGTGAATGCCATCATTAACAGTGGTCCCCGGGAGGACTCAACTCGTATTGGGCGAGCTGGAACAGTGAGACGGCAGGCTGTGGATGTGTCCCCACTGCGCCGAGTGAATCAGGTGGGTCTGGGGCTTGTGCAGGTGGCAGGGCAGGAACTGCCACCAGGAGTTGGTGGAATCCTGCCTAGGGCAGAAAGGCTTGTTCCTGTTTGCATGCTTTACCTAGAGCCTCACTTCCTCCAGGAAACTTCCTGAATTCCCACCCTGTGCAGGGCAGATTCTGGCTCTGGGCCCCCTCCAAAGTCTGCTTTCATTTCTAGCATACAGTTTTGCGCTGTACTTTTTTCCTTTGGGCCAAACAAAAATATCCAAGGATCAGTTGCAGTCATTCTGACTTTTCCCTAAATTCCTGAGCGGGTATTTTAGGAGCAAGGCTGATCTGCCCCCATGATTCTGCCCATGAGTAATTTAATAGCAATAGGATAGCAAAGCAGTCATTTATCTGTTTTCATCATGCCCTTTATAACTGTTCTTGTCAGACAGGGGTCCAGGTTATGGACGTATATCACATTTTGCTATTGTGGCAGGTCTTGAGGATCCAGGCTTAGCCTGTGTCCTGACACGGGTTTTTTCAACCCTCTGATCTGATAACTGGCAAGATGTCATCTTCGTGTTTCTTGTCTATGGTGACAGCCAATGTTGAGGTCCTCCAGGTTACTGGAGGATGACTCTTCTGCCAGCCTAGTCTGACCCTTGCCTGTGCTCTCTAGGCCATCTGGCTGCTGTGCACAGGTGCCCGTGAGGCTGCCTTCCGGAACATCAAGACCATAGCTGAGTGCCTGGCAGATGAGCTCATCAATGCTGCCAAGGTAGGTTTGGCATAGGTTTAAGGTTGGGCATTTGGGGGGATGGTCTTCTAGCACCTAGAGCTAATCATCTGTCTCCTTGCAGGGCTCTTCCAACTCCTATGCCATCAAGAAGAAGGACGAGCTGGAGCGTGTGGCCAAGTCCAACCGTTGATTCCCCAGTTGCTGCCTAATAAATTGTCTGCCCTTTGGGGCAGCTCCACCTGCCTATGTGGTTGTCAGTTCTTGTAGGGGGTTGGGATAGCCTGGTGTCCTGAGTTCACCTGGGGAGTACCACTGACTCAGACCCATTCCACCTCAGGACTAAAAGGTAGTCACAGAGTATGAGCTCAATGGCCTAGAGTGTCCCAACAGATAATAGAAATAACAGTGAAGAGTTTATCCCCGACCTCAGAGGACCTGGCATATCACATGCTGCTCTGGTCTGGGAAGGTACTTGGGTTCCCAAGAGGCCTAGGTGACCCTGACCTCTCAGGTCATGGTTCCTAGAGGCTTCCCCAGGGAGAGGCTGGTCTGTCTAGCTGTGTACCCTCTAAGTTGTGTGCAGGCTTCATTCTCTTGAGGTCCTGGGGTTTGACCTCGGACTCATGTTAGCTAGGCAGGTGCTCTGCCACTTGAGCAAGTCTGCCAGCCATGTTTTGTACTGAGTGTTCTCGGTAGATTCTCACAAACTGCACAGGCTGGCTTCAAACCCAGATACTCCTGATCTTTAGAGTAGCTAGGATTACAGGCATGGGCCACTGGAATTACAGCATACTTCCCAGGCTGCTGCTCATCTACGTATGTTTGTGACAGCAGCTAAACCCTGTATACACCCTACACAGCAAGCTACTGCCACCTGGAGCTGCATATTCCCCATGCAAAGTCAGACTAGCAAGACAGGCTGGAAACCATTCGTGCTACAGCTAGTGGCTTGGTGGATTCTGTAGGGTGGTCTGTGCCATAACCTTAGATCCACCCCCAACATCCGGGCTAAGTCAGGCTTGGGTCATTCTGGCTGGATGGGCCAGAGGGGCGGGGCAGGCTGCCGAACGAGTTCATCTAGTACCTGAGAACCTGGAGGGGGTGGCCCCAGGTCAGGAACCCTCCTAAGGGGAGGGGCCCTTGTGTACCCAGAGACAAGCCAGCCAGAGATTAAGAACCAGAGGTACGCGCCACTGGCTGGAGGGACGAGGTGTCCACAGGTAGGTAGGTCGGTCCCCCCAGACTGGATAGGGTCAGTTAGTATCTGGGAAGCCTTATCCTAATTTTGCTCTGCTGTTTGGCACCCCCTGTGGTTCAGGAATCCTACCTCTTCTGGAGAAAGTTATCATCCCAGTTCCCAATAGGTCCTCCCTGGAATCTTACGGCCTGGCCAGCAACTTCTGACCCTCTCGGTGATGGATTCTTCCCATCTTCAAAGCAGTTTCAGTCTCTTCCTCCGTTTGTCTCTGGGCCCCGCCTCCCAACCTCTACCTTAGGATCTGCGGACCCTTATGGGTCTACTCGAGGTCTCATTTCTGTCCCCTCCTATGTCATCTCTGCTCTTCTTTGGCTCTTGCTACCTCTTCTCTGGACGATATCTCTGTTCAGGTGATCTCCAGAGTCTACTCCCGCTCGTCCCTGGAGTCCTCGGTGGTGCCCCAGATGCCCTCCACAGTCCCTTCCCGGCTTGACTGTCTCTCCTCGCAGGTCCGGTCCGGATGCCCTGCCCGCGGCCGCCCTGGCTTCGCCGTAGCCGGGCCTCTCACAGCTCGGGCCTGGGCTCTCCAGGCGCGCTGTCCGCTCCGCGCTCCCAGAGCCGAGGAGAGGACGAGGACGCAGAGGAGGAGGGCGATGGCAGCCCCGGCTCTGGCCCCATCTTGCCCCCTGCGTCCCCTATGGAATGCCTCATCTGCGTGTCGCCCTTCGATGGCGTGTTCAAGCTGCCCAAACGTCTGGACTGCGGCCACGTCTTCTGTCTCGAGTGCCTGGCTCGCCTGTCGCTGGCTACGGCAGGCGGCGGCGACGCGGTAGCTTGTCCAGTGTGCCGCGCGCCCACGCGCCTGGCCCCACGCCGCGGGCTGCCCGCGCTGCCCACGCAGCCCGGCCTGCTGCCCCGCGACGCGCGAGCGCCGCCGCTGCGCCAGGGCTCCGTGCGCTTCGACCGCCGCCGCGGGCTGCTCTACCTGCGGCCGCCGCCGCCGCCACCCGGGCCA